ATGTGTCCTCCGAGATAAATAACCGGGCAGGACATTTAGAATGCAAATGCTGAAAAAGGCCATGTACAGGTACAGACATCTTCAGGAACAAACATAATCCTGAAAACTCCATTGACTACTTTAGCGTGAATATGTTTAGCTCGTAGCCTACAACTAATACAGACAAAATCCTTAAAACATCAACATAAAGACATCGTCAAGGACAAGGTCGCACCATAAGTTAACAACCTCCATTGATGATTTTGTCTTCCACGGGAATATTGAAAATAGGGTGTGTTATGTACAAGTATGTCATTTTGAGATTTAAAATGACGCCGTTGTCGGATGTACAAGTCGCAACCATCGTCAAAGTTGAGCACAAAGAAGAGAAAGTAAAAGCTATTCCATGATTTGTTTCAAAAATAAATTAATTTGCAACATTGTATTTTATTCAAACACTTGCCTATGTATTTCACTCTATTTGATTTAAAGGGACAAGAACTATCGCTCGATTTATGTCAATCTCCGGCGCAGAGTTCATATCCGTTCCATACATGCTCCGCAATACTACACTGTTGGTAAGCTGGTCCTCGACTGACTACTGAACAAAGTGTAGTAGTCAGTCGAGGACCAGCTTACACTGTTGGGTGTAGTGTTTGTATTGAACGGACTTGTGTCAAAAGGATTAACATGTGATGACACGTTTGGTATTGATATTTTATTCAAAAATTAAAAAAATCAAACTTTCAAAAAACGAAATAATCAAAACTGCACGTTAAGTTTAGTACTATTAAAGTTTGATCAAATAGCTAAACTATCAAATATAAAAACGTAATTTAGAATTTTGAAATTATAAATATTTGGTGAAAATTTCAATATTTCAAAAATTAGGAATTTTGGTATTTTAAAACTTATCAAAATTTCAAAAATCTAAAATTTTAAACTTTTGAATTGATAAGTGTTACACAGACCGTTTTTCCAGAATCACATTGGCTATACATTCTAACCTATTACCTAAAGTATATATTTTTTTATTTTTACGTTTGCTTTGAGTAATAATAATTGCATTTCAACTATTACCATGCATAAAGAGTTTTTACCAGCCAATTAACCATTCAAATTTCAAAATGTAATGCATCTTCTTCAAAGATATAAAACGAGAGGAAATAAAAAAAAAAGTCCAATAAATACAGACAAAACAATGGCAAAAAATAATAAACTGCTTCGCTGAGCGCAGCTGAATACGCCCGCAGAGGTCCAACCCTGAACAATTGGGGCAAAAATGGACATAATATTCAAGCTTGATACAGGTCTGAATTTGTATTGTAATTAAATATTTGACATATAATAGGTTTCTGAATAAATGTAGTCAAAGAACTTGAAATTGGTTATATGAATTGAATTTATATTTAATTAAAGATTTCTTGCTGTTGTGCAAAACACTATGCTGTTGCGCAATACTTAGTAAATCTGTTGTCAGACTATAAACAAATAAAATTTATAAAATTCTAAAGGGAGCTTACATCAATAGATATAAACAATTCACAAAAGTTTCATAAGAATTGCTGAAAGCTTTTTTGAGTTATTGTCTGAAAACTGGAAAATCCCCCCTTTTTTAATGAATAAAACCCCATAACTCGGGAATGTAAAATCTAAAATTTATAAAATTTTAAAGGGAGCTTACATCAACAGATATCAACAATTCATCAAAGTTTCATGAGAACTGCTGAAAGCATTCTTAAGTTATTGTCCGAAAACTGGAAAATCCCCCTTTTTTAATGAATAAAACCCCATAACTCGGAAACGTAAAATCTAAAATTTATAAAAAACGAAAGGGAGCTCACGTCAATAGATATAAACAATTCACCAAAGTTTTATGCAAATTGGTTAAAGTGTTTCTGAGTTAATGTCCAACATGTTGACGACGGACAACAGTATACCATAATACGTCCCGTAAACGGGCGTATAAAAACAACGAATGGACAAACAGTTACAAAAATTGGTACCGTTACGTTATTACAAACATTACATAGAAAACTAAAGACTGAACAGCAGCGGGTAATTTTGTTTTGTAAAGTAACCTTTTTGACTTTTAATTTATTTGCACATTGGATATTTTTGTTGCGAGTGTCTGAAGGTCTCAATAAACAACACGAGCTAATAATTATCTGATGAAGTATTGTTTTATTACCCTTTTAATTGTACTGAACAATTTGATATCACATGAATTTCGTTTCTGAGAAAATAATTGAAAACTTACCACAATGTGTTATAGCAGACCTATAGGTAGAAAAATAACTTTTACAATGAAGTGGCTACTTTAATATCAACTTGAATTAAAAGTACTTGAGGAATGTTCTGCAAGGTATGAAACAAGGATTGGTGACATATGTTGTTTTTCTTCCATAATATTGACTGAATAAGCAAATAATTTTTGAACGTGTAACATCTTTTAGCTTTTTTAAAACTTTACACTTCCTGATCGATATTTAATTGCATCAGTGAATTTAAACATGTCTTCTTTCAATCAAATATGCAAATTTTACTTTCTACTGTTTTCTATATATAACAGTATACACAGTGGTTCATACAATTTGTGATACTCCTTTCTTTGCATATAAAATGTTGTCCAGTCCATGGTAGAGGGTACAGACCACAAGATTTCTGAAGCTTTCTTTCTTCCTTTCTTGATTAATATAACAATTTGTTCTGACATTGATAGTACATTTGGTTCACAGAAGTAGTCATCATTCTTTTAATATATTTTTGTCTAAGATATATATACAGTAAGGTTTATAGAATCTGTGATATTTCATTTATTCATAAGTATAATATTTTATCATGATATTGATAAAGTGCTTTGATAGATTCAGATACAAAAGCAAATTAAAGTACTTTGATGATACTAGCTAGGCATCCAACAATGAATAGTGACCGATTCTGTTTGTCTTTGATAATCTAATTATGCAAATTATGTACTTCTTGATGTAGCATGCGTAACATCTTTCTTACTTCTTCATCAATATATCTATTATAACTTCATCAGTGGAATTCCATATGCATCTTTAAAATAACACTGGCAATATAAACAAGTGAAACTGCGAGCTACTGCTCACTGATGATACCCCCGTGGACTTCCCTTCTGTGTCTGGCCCAAGCAGTTAATAGCCTAAAACTTCCAAAACCAGTGTCCACTGGTGAGTATCTAACTTTATTATTAAATTACACTTAGGGAATGACTACTTCACATTCCAGGTCTAGGTGAATCCAATTCCAGGTCTAGGTGAATCCAAATACCTGAAATGACCTTTTTTAGACTGCCATACCCAGATCTGTTTTAACTAAGACCTTAGCATGTTGTGAGAATTGTGTTCATGGCAGTCCACTTTATATGCAGACAACAATATATAAGATACATCTATCAGCATTCCTGGGTCTTCCAGATCAAGAAAGAGGATGAAATATCTTCAAAATGGACATTTGTTGCATCGGATGACCAACTTTAATAAAAGTATTTCCACTGAAGTTCTTCTGACAAATTCATAAAAAAACAAATATTTTGTAGAAAATGTTTTAATTGACATACAAAAGCTCTCACACAAACATCACAGTACAGTATAATGGATAAATGCCACAATAATGAAGAAATATGACCCCAAAAAGAGATGTTGAACACAATTGATTTAATGTTCTCGTGTTTTTTCAGTTATATGGTAGTACAGAAATACTGCAATAATTAAGATACTTTCAATATATGGTTAGTACAACATTCGTTGGATGTATTCAATAGCAGTTGGAATAAAATGTAATAATTCAACACTCAGATTAGATGCTTCTCCCTTCCTTCAAATTCTAAATGTTTGCTATAAAATTTCTTATTTCAATTGAAAATAAATATCATTAAAGTTAACCATAACAGATTGAAGTGTCAGTAATGAAATTTTAAAACAAACAATTACAGAGCCAACATTTACTGTGTTGTCTGTATTTTACTCTTCCCCCTTCCCACATTATCAGGTGTGACCCCAATAACCCTTACGTACAATAATAACTAATATATTACAAATTTTTCTTCTGGGTCTTATCAGCACTTTGAAGAACCGGGAGTAACATAAGATTACTTGAGCATTCAGGAGATTTGTATATTACAATCATACTGTGTACAATAATTCAATTGTCATAAAACTATAAATAAATAATTATCCAAGTTGTCCAGAACGTAGAGCCTGTTCGTAAGCACTGCCTCCACCCTGGCCGCCTTCTTTCTCTAATTTGATCATATCATCGATTCTAAGAATGGTAATAGCAGCTTCTGTAGCAAACTTGAGAGATTTGATCTTAGAAATGGCTGGTTCTAAAACACCAGCTTTCTTGTTGTCACGGACAGTACCTTCATACAGATCTAAACCAACCCTGAAAAAGGCAAGATTATATTAATTATTTTCTCAAATTTCACTTCACACATAACATTAACTTTTGCAAAGCAATAGTCCAAGTCCAGATATTTCTCAAAATCAACTTTAGTCTAACATTAACTTCTGTAAAGCAATAGTCCAAGTCCAGATATTTCTAACAGTCAACTTCACACATATCAAGTCCAGATATTTCTAAAAATCAACTTTAGACATAGCATTAACTTTTGCAAATCAATAGTTCAAGTCCAGATATTTATAAAAATCAACTTATGTGATAACATTAAGCAAAGTTCAAGTACAGATATTTCTAAAAATCAACTTTGGTCATAACATGAACTTTTGCAAAGCAATAGTCAAAGTCCCGATATTTCTAACAGTCAACTTTAGTCATAGCATTAACTTCTGTAAAGTAATAGTACAAATCTTCATGATTACAATGTATATAAAATGCTCCGCTGGGGCGCAGCTTGATACGACCACAGAGGTCGAACCCTGAACAGTTGGGGCAAGTATGGACACAACATTCAAGCTTGATACAGCACTGAATTTGGATTGTAATTAAATATTTGACACAGCATAGATTTCTGACACAGAATGAAAGTGGTCTAAGAACTTAAAAAATTTTAATTTACCTATTCAAACCATATCATTATTATTTGCTTTAATATATAAATCAGAAATAACCAATTTAAAATGGAAAATTTTAAAGAAAAAAAAAGAAAAAAAAATCCCCCCCTCAAATATTTTGAACCCCCTTATGATTCATCACCCCCAAACTCAATCCCAGCCTTCCCTTTGTGGTATGGTACCTTGCAGTACAATTTCAGAGAGATCCATACACTTGAACACAAGTTATTGTCTGGAAACTAGAAAAATGCTTGTTTTTTGGCCCCAAATACAAAACATTTAGGGCAATTACCCCCAAACTCAAACCCAGCTTTCCCTTTGTGATATGGAACCTTGCAGTGCAATTTCATAAAGATCCATACACTTACACACAAGTTATTGTCCTGAAACTAGAAAAATGCTTGTTTTTTTACCCCTTTATGGCCTCTAATTACTAAAATTTTGAGGGAATTACCCCCAAAATCAATCCCAGCCTTCCCTTTGAGGTATGGTACCTTGCAGTACAATTTCAGAGAGATCCATACACTTGAACACAAGTTATTGTCTGGAAACTAGAAAAATGCTTATTTTTGGCCCCTTTTTCCTAAACTTTATGGGCAATTACCCCGAAACTCAATTTCAGCTTTCCATGTGTGATATGGAACCTTGTAATACAATTTCATAAAGATCCATACACTTACACACAAGTTATTGTCATGAAACTAGAAAAATGCTTGTTTTTTGCCCCTTTTTGGCCCCTAATTCCTAAAATTTGGAGGCAATTACCCCCAAAATCAATCCCTTCATTCCCTTTGTGATATGGAACCTTGTGATACAATTTCAGAGAGATCCATAGACTTACACACAAGTTATTGTCATGAAACCAGAAAAATGCTTGTTTTTTGCCCCTTTTTGGCCCCTTATTCCTAAAATTTGGAGGCAATTAACCCCAAAATCAATCCCAGCATTCCCTTTGTGATATGGAACCTTGTGGTACAACGTCAGAGAGATCCATACACTTACACACAAGTTATGTCTGGAAGTTACAAAAAAGCTCATTTTTGGCCCCTTTTTGGCCCCTAATTCCTTAACTGTTGGTACCATAACCCCCAAAATCAATCCCAACCTTCCTTTTGTGGTATTGATACTTATGGTAAAATTTCATTGAGATCCATTCACTTTAACTAAAGTTAGAGTGTGAAAACTAATGTGTCTTCAGACGACGACGACGCCATACCAATATACCACCACAAAATTTTTTTTGCAGTCGTATAAAAACCTAGTATCAGTAACAGACTTTTATCTCTCACAGTCATCCCTATGAAAACTATCAGATATGTGTAATTGAACAGATTTCTGTAAACTACAACAAATATTGTGTGATATAGAGAAGTTTATTTTCCACTGATTATAAAAAGGTGCATATGTGAATAATTTAGACAGAAAACTACTGATAAATTATATCCCAGATTTAATTCGCAGTCAGTACCACTAAGAAGTACATACACTGGAATATATTCTGGTGTTTATATAACCCATATGTATAACTATAGGTATAATCATGTTTATACCACAGCAAAGTTATGGGTGCAAGTTCTTTTCACAAACTGGATGAATATCAAAATGGCTTATTATACACCTCTGAGGAAATCCCCAATACACTACATTTCAAGTGGATTTTGTAATTTCAATCAACCTGCATACAATGGGGAACCCATTCAAACTTTAACTTTATATATTGTGAAAATATATAATTTTCAAAAGATTTACTCAATTTTCCTAGGTGCCATTAGTCTTATGATGAAGGAAAGAAATATCATATCCACTGTAAATATCTTCATGATATAACATTTTTTTTCATTGAGAATGAGTTCTATTTCCAGACTGAAAAAAATTCAGGACAATATTTGTTGGTCTCAATTACAAAATATAGCAGAGTTTGAGTCTATTGTTAAGGTCAAAAATAAAAATTAAGATTGTTTGATGTTGCCTACCTACCCATCTAAAAAAACAGCCTACCAGAAACATTTTATGTCAGACACAAATGGGTTCATATTTTTTTTTAAAGATTCATTTCTACTCTAACATGGTTTTCTTGTCTAAAACATGTAACTTATGTTGTTGGCCAAAAAAAAATCCCAACCTACCTACCCAACACTACAAGGCATGGGTGGGCAATATCAAACAACATTTTTTAAGGGTGGCATAAACACCCTGACTTACCATCTGAGGTCTTTATGTTCTTTAGTTGTTTGTGATTTGTTGTGAAAGGCTCTGAGTTTAGCTACAAGATCTGTGGAATCCTGAGCTGCATTAACTGCTAGCTGTTTAGGTATCACTAACAACGATCGAGCAAATTCTGCTATAGCTAACTGTTCCCTTGAACCCTACAATCAAATATATATATTCATATACTAAATAACAAAAGGATCAGTTTAGACAAGGTTCATTTTATTTGTAAACATCACTCTATGGTATATCATGAGAGGGCTCTAAATTCATTAATATGTCAAGATTTAAATTATTGTCCAAACTGTAAAATATTGCATTTAATTCTATTTATAACAATCTCTAGCATACAATGATATATGTATAAAGGACTATTTTCTATACATTCAGTCTATAAAAAACATGTTAACATGTTTAAGGTGATCCAGTCATTCCCAAGGTTGCCGGACATTGGGCAAAGTCCAGTAAAAAAAATTATTTTGTCCAAATCATATGTGTAAATGTCCCTTAAAAATGACTCTGATCCAGATAAGAAGAATAGTAGCCTGGTGCATGTGTAGTGTAACGTTCAGTTAGACGTCACGATTTTTGCATAATGTCTAAGTTTTTAAAACGCTATTTTAGTTGTTTTCCCGTTTAAATGTGTTTACGAAAATTATACCAATCGAAAGAGCATCATTTGTAGATTAATATCATCTGTTTTTTATTCAACATTTGTACATAAACACTTACCTTCCGAAAGTTTAAACTCGGCGACGTTTCCGAAATTTATACGCGGTATGATAGTTGGACAGCGTAAATTTAGAGCGATCTCGAGTTCTGACTAAATTTGCCACCTTCGCCCGTTTGTTTAGACATTTAAAATTAACATAATATGAAAGCGCGTATTTTAAGCTTTATTTTCGTATAACTTTCTTGAAGATATTATAGCTTTATCAAATTTTAAAATTTTAAAAACAATTTCATTTAAAATTTTCAATATTTATTTTATAAAAGTATTTGATGAAAGTTATACGAGTAAAAAATTTAAAACTAGCTCTTTTCAAACAGTAACTAGTCAAAAGATGCGAAACTAAAGCGATACTGACTTTACTTCATTGAAAAAAGGTCACGACCTTCAAAATTTTCTGAAAGTCGATAACGTTCCAGATCAAAATGAATTCGATTTCTGTAGCCGCAGCGCAAATAAATGGCGTGTTTAAATCACTAGAAGACGCGTGTAAACGTGAAAACATAGGTAATTTAGCACAGTAATATACGGATAAATGTTTCTTTGCTAAAATAAAGAACTTACGGATACCGGTAACATGAATGAACTATGTGAACTATTTATAAACAATACGAAAATCAAGTTTCACTTTCGATTTTACGCAATCCTCTGTTGAAAAACTTATATAAAATAAATTTCCTAACATCAAAGAAACTAGATATTTAAAATGAAACTTGATAAATTATTCGAAAAAACTTCCTAGACATAATTCAAGAAAAAATGTGAACTTAAATGAAATAAAAGGCAATAAGGGGGATGGGATTTTTTTCATGAAATGTAGGTTCCTTTTTTTTTGTTTTTCAGATAAGAATTATGCTTTCCTGATTAGATATTTAAAATAAAAATACAAGTTCTGCTTGATAAAAACATTCAAATAAATTTCGAGAGAGAGAAAAAGTGAACTTAAATGAAATTAAAGACAATTTAATATCCTAAATAGAGGGGTAGGGGATTTTTCTTCTTCACGAGCTGTAGGTTACTTTTTTTATTTTTCAGACATAAATTATCCTTTCGTGATTCAGTTACGAGATATTCTTCGGTACGAACAACAAAATATACAAGAAAAGTTACCGGGTCTTCTAAAGAAAGTAAACTCAAGAGTAAAGATACCAAGTAAAATAAGTGATTTGATAAGGAAGATAGAAAACAAGTTTGATAAAGCAAATACAGAAGAATTAAAAGAAAAAGTTTTAAGAGAAGTTCTATTGTTGTCAGAAGATTCAACCGTCATAGGAATTCATTGTTCAAAATTCAGAATTTTTTCAAATAATTTGTATACTTTTGTTTGTGGTCAAGTCACTAATGGTGTTGTATATGAACTTGAAAAGTTTCGTAGCTCAAATAATTACACTTTCGCAGAATTAACAAAGTGGGTTCATAATATAATGGGGCTTAAAAGCGAAACTTTTTCAGAACATGCAATGCGTTACTCTGTTAAATGTTTATTAAAAAATCGTTTAGATATGAGTAGAAAAGGCTATAGCTTTTCAGAACATATTTTAAATGAAACGTATACGTACCCAAAAATGGGTACTAATAAAGCAAGCTCAACAGACATATTGGCAGAGGGTTGTGAAAATCCTAAGTGTTCAAAACAGAAAATAAAAACATTAAAGTGCTGTCAACAAATTCAAAATTTAAATTACCAACTTCAACATGAAAAAGAAGAAGTTGAAGAAGAACTTTCACAAGAATATAAGGAAAATCAGCAATTATCTGATCAACTAAATAAAATCATAAAAGATAAAACAATATCAGACAAAGAACTTTCAGACTTGAAACAAAAATATGAAACTGTTATAAACAAACTTCAAAAGTATAATACTAGGAACATTAACAAAAAAATTCAGAGAAGAGACTCTAAATTAGAAACAATAAACAAAACTTTAACAAATGAAAAAGAAAAATCTTCCTTTATGGAAGAAAGCGTTATGCAAAGAGAAAAAGAAATCTTAGTTTTGAAAGAGGATAAAAGAAATCTACAAAAAAAAAATATTATATCTTAAGTCCAAACCAGAACTTTTTGAAAATAAACAATGAAAATATTTCTAAATTGCGCGACGAAAACAAGGAACTTCAAGAATCGAATGCCATCCTACAGGAAATAATTGAAGAATGCACAAAAATACCTATTTTTAAGACAAGAAAAGATGGGTCGCGAGAGTTTTGTGATGAAATGAAAAAAACATATATGGAATTAATATCATTAGGTGTTAGCTGTAACATGTGCAGCAATGTAATTAAATCAGTCATAAAAAATATGACTGGTCAAGAACTGAATGATATGCCAGAAGTTACATTTGCAAAAAGAATGGCTCTGCAAGCTAATTTGATGGCAAAATTTCAATTGGCAGATACTATTTTAAGCAAGGACTCTGCAAACACGTTACAGTTTGATGGCACAAGCAAGTGGGGGGAACATTTTTTTACTTTTGACATAACAACTTCAGAAAAAACATATTCAGCAAGTTTGATGGACTTAGCAACAGAAAACAGTGCAACACAATTAAATGCAACAAAAGCATTGTTTAACGAATTAAGTGAAATTTATGTATCATTGACTAATGAAAAAAATCCTGAAATACTAACAAAAGTCATTAGCAAAATGGTAAAAACCATTCATAATACTATGAGCGATAGAGGTCCAACAAATAAACCTTACGTTAAGCTGTTTGAAGAATGGCGAAAAACATTATTACCCAAAGCTTTAGAAAACTGGGAAACTTTAAATGAACAATGTCAGCAATCAGTTATAGAAATTCATGATTTTTATTGTGGATTACATTTACTAACAAATTTTGCTGATTATTCTAACAAATCGTTGAAAAAATTTGAAGAAATTTGTACAGCAGAAAAAATTGGAATGAAAACTTTATCCCAATTTAGTAATTGGGGTACAAGGAGTGAGTCTGCTGCTCAAAGATTAATACGCTCGTGTTGTAACTTATTGCAAATACATGGTTGTGAAACTGCTGGTAGGCCACAGCAATTTAATGCCTATTTATTTGAAAATGGTTTAAAAAATTATCTTGTACCTTTCCGTGGGAATAGGTTTAACATTTTATTTCAAAATGCAAGAGCAGTATATGGTCATTTGACACATATACAAGATTTTATTGAAATGTATGGGACAGGTAATAATCTGTTACTATCTGTAAATGCTGACATTGAATCCAAAATTGCCCTTGCTGGTGTTAGAGCTCTTGGTTTAACGGATGTCCATATCAATCGTCCACTTTGGAAACTTCTTGATTGTAATGATGTGTCTATAAGTGAAATGTCACAGTATTACCAAAAGTTACATGATAGTATTTCAAATTTAGTACAAGATTCTTCTCCAATGTTTGATGAAAATTATCAAATGTTTGAAAATTACCCCCCCGAAAAAGATTTGTTTGG